GAGTTGCTTAAGGATTATGATATCACTATATTGTACCATCCGGGAAAGGCTAATGTGGTGGCCGATATTTTTGAGCCGAAAGGCAGTGAGTATAGGGAGTTTGGCATATATTCTAGTTGGGGAGAGACCTCTTGCAGTTGATGTTCAGGCCTTGGCCAATCGGTTTGTGAGATTAAACATTTCAGAGCCTAGTCGGGTATTGGCGTGTGTGGTTTCTCGATCTTCATTATATGATCGCATCAGAGAGTGCCAGTATGATGATCCGCATTTGCTTGTCCTTAAGGACAGAGTTCAGCATGATGATTCTAGAGATGTGACCATCGATGATGATGGGGTGTTGAGGATGTAGGGCCGGATTTGCGTGCCCAATGTGGATGGGATTCAGGAGTTGATTCTGGAGGAGGCACATAGCTCACGGTATTCCATTCATCCGGGTGCCGCAAATTTGTATCAGGATTTGAAGCAGCACTAGTGGTGGAGAAGAATGAAGAAAGATATTGTGGGATTTGTAGCTCGATGTCTCAATTGTCAACAGGTGAAATATGAGTATCAGAGACTGGGTGACTTGCTACAACAGATGGATATTCCCAAGTGAAAGTGGGAGAGAATCACTATGGACCTTGTTGTTGGACTTCCACGGACTTTGAGGAAGTTCGATGCTATTTGGGTAATTGTGGATCGGTTGACCAAGTCCGCGCTCTTCATTCCTGTGTGTACTACCTATTCTTCAGAGCGGTTGACGGGGATTTATATCCGGGATATTGTTCGTTTGCATGGTGTTCCGGTTTAGGTACTCAGTTTACTTCGCAGTTTTGGAGAACCGTACAGAGAGAGTTGGGTACTCAAGTTGAGTTGAGCACAGCTTTTCATCCTCAAACGGACGGGCATTCCGAGCGTACTATTAAGATATTGGAGGATATATTGCGTGCTTGTGTTATTGATTTCGGATGGGTCATGGGATGAGTTCCTACCGCTTGCAGAGTTTCCTTATAACAACAACTACCAGTCGAGTATTCAGATGGCTCCATATGAGGCTTTGTATGGGAGGCAGTGCAGATCTCCAGTTGGTTGGTTCGAGCCCAGTGAGGTCAAGCTATTGGGGACTGATTTGGTACAGGATGCTTTGGAGAAGGTGAAGGTGATTCAGGAGAGGCTTCGTACAGCGCAGTCGAGGCAAAAGAGTTATGCTGATAGGAAGGTTCGAGATGTGTCCTACATGGTTGGTGAGAAGGTTCTGTTGAAGGTTTCACCCATGAAGGGTGTTAT